TTAGGGGCATCATGTCTCTTCTAGACATAGAGCCAAGCTTTTGGCAACGCTTACAAGATTTACAGAAGTTGTAAGCATCCTGAAACAAAGAAGGCCAATGGAATCCGCTTTGAAGGACTTTGTCAGTGGTCTTCTTGGCACTGAAGTGGCCCCCACAAGCAAGAGTGTGGCAGAAATTTAGGACACTTGTGAATTCATTTTTGGGAATGTATCTCCAGATGATTTGGTCTGGGCAATATTTGAACAACTCCGGATCCTCCCAAAAGAAATTTTTAACTTGGGAAAAGAACCAGTCTTTTTCTTATTTGGACTATTGGGATGGAATTTTTCCTACCGCCAGATAGTTGACAATATCCACAAACCAAGGAAGACTTGAATGAGAAATCTGAAATATTTGCTCATCTGGGAAGGAATCACAAACCATAGCAAATTTAGAGGATTTCTTAATAAGTAAGCGAGAGTGATGGTTGGCAACAACATTGTCTGTTCCCTTTTTGTCCCAAATCTCAATGTCAAACTCCTAGAGTAAGAGTATCCATTGGATGAGATGGGGTTTGGTCTCTTTTTTGGCGAGCAAATGCCTTAGAGCGGCATGGTCTAAAAAGACAGTGACCTTGGATCCAAGAAGATAAGAGCTGAATTTATCCAAGGCATACACCACTGCTAGCAATTCTTTTTCAGTGGTGGTGTAATTTAACTAAGCACCAGAAAGAGTCTTGCTAGCATAATAGATAGCGTGCAAAAGCTTGTCCACATGCTCGCCCAAAACCGCACCTAATGCATAATCGGATGCATCACACATGATCTCAAATGGAAGAGACCAATTAGGCAGTTTCATGATTGGGGCAGATAAGAGAAGAGTACGAAGTTTCATAAACGCTTCTAAACAAGCCTCATCAAAATTGAATGGAACATCCTTGGCAAAAAAGGTTACACAAGGGCCGAGAGATTTTGCTAAAATCTTTGATAAAGCGACGATAGAAACCGGCATACCCAAGGAAGGAACAGATTTGTCGGACAGAATTTGGAGGAGGAAGGTTAGAGATTAACTCAACTTTGGCTTTGTTAACCTCAATTCCCTTTTTTAAAATGACATGTCCCAAGACAATGCCTTCTTGTACCATAAAGTGATCTTCTCCTAACTTAGAATAAGATTTTTCTCCTTGCATCTTTGAAGCACAAAGGATAGATTTTGGAGACATAAGTCAAAGGAAGATCCAAAGACGGAAAAATCATCCATGAACACTTCCAAAAACTTTTAAACCATATCAGAAAATATGGACATCATACACCTTTGGAAAGTTGCCGGTGCATTGCATAGCCCAAAGGGCATGCATCTATAGGCAAATGTTCCAAAGGGACATGTGAATGTGGTCTTTTCTTGATCTTGAGGATCAATTGCCACTCAGTTATAGCCGGAATAACCATCAAGGAAACAATAGTAGCTTTGGCCGGCTAACCATTCTAGGATTTGATCAATGAATGGAAGTGGGAAATGATCCTTCCTAGTGGTGGAATTGAGTTTCCGGTAGTTAATGCATACACGCCACCTGGTGGTGGTGCATTGCGGCACGAGTTCTCCTGTTAAATTCTCAACAACGGTGAGGCTAGATTTCTTATGAACAACTTGAGTAGGGCTTACCCACTTGATATCAGAGATGGGGTAGATGATTCCCGCATCTAGTAGCTTGATCACTTCTTTCTTGACCACTTCCTTCATGTTGGGATTCAACCGGCGTTGCACCTCTCTAAAAGGTTTAGCATCGTCTTCCAAATGAATGCGGTGCATACAAATAGAAAGGTCGATTCCTTTCAAATCAGCCACTACCCAGCCAATAGCTTCTTTGTGCTCTTGAAGCACCGCTAAAAGGATAATTTCTTGATCCTTTAAAAGGTCCGAAGCAATGATGACCAGAAGAGTTTGACTCGCACCAAGAAACACATACAAATATACTGTATTGAATGATTGCACTCACATTTTCAATCAATCTTACTTTCTTTGGCAAATAACTTTTGGAGGTGCACTTTTAAGTGCACAAATCCTTGAGGAATTTAGCATTAGGGGGAATTTGCTTTATAGCATCCAAAAGAGGCAAGTTGATCTTTACTTGCTTAAAGACTTCCCACATGTCTTGAATTTTACAATTTTTATTCCCAAAATGTGTCGACTCTTGGAGATGTTGAGGAAATGGAGCCTTGGGCTCATAAGATGTCTCCACATTTGGGGCAACAAGCTTGGAATTTTTAGCATTAGACTTTAGAAATTCAGGAGTGAGATTTGGATTAGAAGAGCTGAGAATTGGATTTTTGGGAGGAAGAACTTTTTCATTGTTTCTTCCATCAACCTTGTTATCCACAACTCGACCACTCCTAAGGGTGGTGATTGCTTGGACTTGTTCATGAGTTAGCCCACTCGGAGGAGGGGTTTCGTCAATCACATGAATCCCTCTAGGATTCTCAAATGGTTGAGCGGGAAGCTTCCCCTTATCTCTTTGAAGGAGTTGGTTCGTTGAAGTAGCTATTTGCCCCACTTGATTCTCAAGTTTAGCAATAGACTGAGTATGAGAATGACCAATTTGGAGAGTGGACTACAATGATGTCAAGAGTTGTTTGTTGGATTCCATCATTTGCTTGTTTAGATATTCCATCATTTGCTTGTTTGCAGCCAAAATCTCATCAATTGGAAACGTACGAGGTTGATTAGAGACATTTGGATTATAAGGGGGACGGTAGCTTGACGAGGCCTGAAATGGCCTATTTTGAAATTGAGAAGGGGGCTGATTTTGATGCCCTTGATTCTGAAAGTTCAAGTTTTGTGGGGCAGGTTGCCTCCATGAAAAATTCGGATGATCTCTCCAGCTTGGATTATAGGTATTAGAATAAGGATTGTTTCCAGGTCTGGAAAACATCGCATTTGCTTGCTCATGATTGGGATTAGGAAATTGCTCCGGTGTAGGGTAATCTTCCGAGAGATGGAAGGGACTTATTCATGATGCACACACAACACTTGCCGAATTTTGAGACAAAGAGGGAGAGAGATGTGGTGCCATTAATTGATAGAATTTATGAGCTATGGCATCCACTTGAGAAGATTCTTCCCTCATTATTTTTGGTTAACAAGGATTGGTGTTCTTAGCATTGGTTGAGATCGGAGCCCTACGAGAATTGTGTTACAATGAATTTTCACTCAAATTCTCGAGTAAGGTCCAAGCCTTGTCTGCATTCTTAGACATGAACATCCCCCCACATGAGGAATCAACCATGAGTCTATGTGGTTCGGTTAAACCATCATAGAAGGCTTGCACTAATTGCCATTTTGGAATTAGATGGTACGGGCATTTCTTAAAAAGATCTTGTAATCTTTCCCAAGTCTCATGGAGTTGTTGTCCATCAATTTAAGAAAAACTAAGAATAGAGCGCCTCATTTGATTGGTTTTACTCACCGGATAGTATTTTTTTAGAAATTCTTGTTGCAATTAGGCCCATGATGTGATGGAATTTGCAACAAAGGAGTTTAATCAATACTTTGCCCTATCTTTCAAGGAAAATGGAAATAGACGCAAGTGAAGTGCATTCTCAGGGAAACCCCTCATTTTGATGGTAGAACAGATTTCAAGGAATTCATCAAGATACTTATAGGGATCCTCATTGTCAAAGCCATGGAAGGATGGAAGCATTTGAATTGAACTAGATTTGATTTCATATTGAGCGGCTTCGATATTTGGCATCACTATGTAAGAGGGAGAAGCATAAGTGGTAGGGATGAAATGATCCCGAAGAGTCCTAGGAACCACATTTGGAATTTCAGCCCCATTATTATTGATTCCCTCATTCCCCAAATTTTTTTCATTACCGGCCATTGTATAGAATTCAAGTTCAATTCCTCTTATGTTAGCAGATTCCCTAAGGTTTCTTCTAAGAGTCCTTTCAAGTGAATTTATGTCAACTGGTGAGTCAAGAGTCGGTAAGGAAAGTGATCTATGGCTAAACATCAACAAATCACAACACAATCAAGACAACAATGCATCACCATAACCTCCACATACGATGTTCCCGTTCTCCTCAATTATCAAAGACAGAAATTAAATGGCCACGACAAGGACCGATGCTTCGTAATACAGAGAAACAATAAATAGCCTCGGTAAAGGCTTCACAATTTAACTATCTCTAATTTAACCATAAGCAAGATATTCACGACCTTGAGACTAGAACTTCAAAAACTTACAGAGAGTCTTTTAGACTTACAAATTTGTTAGTTTTCTCACGGCAAGCCTTGAGTACCTAGAATCTCACAAGAAAACTTGAAACACAAATTAATCGAAACCAACAAGAAAATATCCATAAGAACACAATATTCACAATCAAACCAAAGTTAATCCTACAACCTCGGTTGCAAAACAGTTTGCAGTCCCCGACAACGGCACCAAAAATTGATCGGTTGTCAATTATACATCAACCTTTGCAATAGCACAAATCATTGTAAAATAGGGCTATTGGTCAGGTAAGTCGAACCACTGGGACTGCTAGTTTATGGCAACCAAGGTGTCTAAAATCACTTTTAGAATGATGAAGGGGTATAGAGTTTTGTTTGGGTTGTCACTAAAATTAGGAATTGAAAAATGCATAAAACGGTAATTTGCGAAGAATTAAAGAGATAATGATAATGTAGAGGGGACTAGGGAAGTGAATCGACTACCTACCCTATAAACATGCTAGTTAAGGTAAACTTAGGGGAAACAACATAAATATGTGACCATGAAATGCTACAACAAAACATTGCTACATTCCTTCAAGAAATTCATGAAATCAATGGCAAGAATGACCTATCAAAGTTACACATGCTTGAACTACCTAAACTAGTGTGTAGTCTTAGACATACTTGCTAAGCTAGAGATTATCAAGCCATCAATCACATGATAAGAGCACATAAAGTTAAAAATCAAGATTAATCCATCAAAGGGAAATCCTAAGCCATAGACTAACAAGGTTCTCATACAACATGCCATTAAAACCATTCCACAATCTCATTTTCATTGTCACTATGAAAAATCAAGTAATACAACCATGAGAATATATATTCTAAGACAAGAAAATAAATTCAACATGATCATTTATATCAAACTTAGTTCATTACATCAAGTGTAGACTCTAGATTATGGAACACCCACATATATATATATCATTTTTCCCAAAATAAACCAAAAGCTACAACATGCTTACTAGAGAGGGCTTCATCACCTCCCTAGATAGGGAGTTAGTTGCTCATGGCTGCACTAGAGGAAGGAGAAAAGGTGAAGAGTCCCTCCATTTTCGTGCTTAGAGCTCCAAGAAACCAAAGACTCTCAAGCTCTCAATATTTCTCTCTTTAGAAACTTGTTAAAAATGTGAGATATGTTCTTTATGATACAAGCCCCTTCTTATGAGCCAAAAATCCCACCAAACTCAATTAATCTCGTGCATCATCATCCCTAGAAGAGTGCAGAGCCATTCATTTGATCAAGGGGACATCATTGGGGGAGACAAAGCAGACCACGCCTAGCTGTCTGCAGATCGGCGGGCGCCCGCGGGGCGCTGATGGGTGCTCGTGGGTTCTTGATTTCCGAGGAAGCTCACTGGATGCTTTGGCGGGTGCCCACGGTGGAGCGGCGGGTGCCCAAAGAGGCTTGCGGCGGGGGCCCGCGAGACACTGCGGGGCCCCGCGGAGGAAGACTTATTACTAGGGTGATTAGCAGGCGCCCGCGGTGGCATGGTAATGCCCGCGGAGGCTTGTCTTCAACACATATCACCCTTTTTTTTTATCACATGGATTGGCCCAACGACACGATCGTCATTCTGAATACAATGCTGCAAAACTCACATGCACGATGACTAAAGAAACTTGGCCCAAAAGACGGTTCCCAGCAACGGCGTCCTTTGATTCTTCAAGAGATTGTCAAAACCATTCCTTTAACCTTATTCGGAGGAACCGACCTGAAAGTAGAAGAAAACAAACAAATAAAGCGAAACTATACATTATGATCAACTAATGGACTTAACTAATGCAAATAAGGGCGCTTGAATATGCAATATTCAGCGCTTATCACAAATACATAAGGCATGGAATATAATCATTTAAGACACGTTTTCACATAAAATGGCTGCTATCACATATACAATAAATAAATCATTTTTACAAAGATCCACACGAATTAAGCATACTATACAACAATTCGTGAAGAATAATTTACAAAAATCTAAGAAAAATGTGAATTAGAAACCTCTACCTCAATTTAAAGAAAAAATCCCAAATCAGCCCAAGAATTCAAAAACCCAAAGTGCTCTAATTGAAGACCGTCTCCGATCAATTCGAAGATCTCGTCGAATTTGTCTTCAATGGCAAAGTCTAAATCTACTATAAAAGAAATAAATTCACTAGAATATCAGAGCATCAACTCTCAGCTCTTTCACTGTATCTCGGCTCTGTGACTGTGTTTCTTTTATTTCTTTCCTTCTCAGTATCATTGTATTTCAAATAATGCACAACTACGCACTATATAGTCAATCCACCGACAGTAGTGTAACACAACAGCTCATATCTCTTCTTATCCTTATCTTTCATAATATAAAAATAATACAACTCACTCTTCAAATACAGCCCACGTGATCAATTTCAAAGACAAGGAAAATTGGTCAAAAGTCTCATTAGTGGGCCCATCATCATCATCACAAATTCAATCCTTCACATCTCCACTTCGGCTGACATCCTTTAGCATAATATATATATATATATAACTAAATCAAATCCAAATATCTCTGTAGGTCCCACCAAAGCCATCACACAATTTCCTAATCTCTTTCCCACTTTCGGCACCTGCTAGACACACACAAAGGCAACAAAACAAAAGCTCTTTTAAAAATCAAGTGGGACCCGCAAAAAGCCATTATCATTTGCTTTTTTTTTTTTTTTTTTTACTGGCAGCAAGCTTCTCTCTTTGCTCTAATTTCATTTTGGCAACCACCATCTCCATCAGATATCACTATATCTTATCCAATTGCATAATAATATATATAAGAATTATATTTTCATAAAATACCAACACTAGAATCAAATACTCATTAAATATCTCAAGTGAGTAAATCCAATCATAGTTAAATAAATAATTATGACAACTAAAAATATAATGAAATAAATTAAATTTTAAAAATTCAGGTTGTTACAAAAATAAAATATAAAAATTAATAAAATTAATATTTAGTCGTGTCCGTGTGTCCTTCTATTTGGAGATTTGACACATCCGACACATGAATACATACTCGAGTCCGACACCCATACCCGAATCCATATAACATATTGACCACATTGTGACCAAAGGCTCGAATAAGAGTGCTTCCACCAGGGATCCAATAACAAGTTTAAAGAGTTACCATATCCAATTTTAAACACTGAATTTGTAGCCACAATATCTGTGACTTACAAGCAGTCTCTTCCAGAACACAGAGTGCTAAGTCTTAGGATTACAATTCCACAGAGTCATTCTGAATATACATGGAGTTTAATCCATTCCAACCACAATTGTCACTATTTTGATTGCATTCCATAGAAGTTCGTATTTAGCTGCGCAAACATCTCAGTAATTTCTGGACATGTTTGTTTAAGATGGACACAGGCAGGCTCATACTTACACTTGCTTGAATGGTTTGATTTGTTTTATCTTGTGATAATAAATTTTATGAGTTATGAGACACCATTTGGCTATCCGAAAAGCCAACCAAAACTTGCAATTTTACGTATTGCTTGCAATTTTGGCCTGAAAGCCAACTATGTAGATGTCCCGTAGCCCAATTCTATTCTACACAGCCTGCCAATCAAAAGTTCATCATCTTGTCTATGACCATGGAACACGTCACCATACTGGTCCCTCACAATGAACAATAAAGGTTCTAAAATATTGTTATTCTGATAGAAACTAAAAATAATCAAAGACGATATCATTAAATGTTGAAAAAAAAAAAAAAAAAAAAAAAGGTACTGGAACATAGAGCATTCAAGCTGTGAAACAAAAGTTACGCGGGGTGCGAAAATAATTAGTTAATTTTAATTGTGATTAACTCCTTTAATGACCTAGATTTGATTATTAGGTCAATTTGCTCAATTTATGATTGATTAAATTGTATGATGAATTAAACATACACAATCATAAATATAAACACTGAAAAGTAAAGTAAGTTAAGTTTAGAGAGATTGCACCAGGATTTCTAGCGAGGAAACTCCAGTTGATAAAATACATTAACTGTTTGCATGGGAAAAAACCTCGTGGACTATTCAGTCCAAAGTAAACCGATCCACTATATTTGAAACAATGTACACTGAACTTTGACTCTGGCTCACACCCTATCTTTCTAGCAAACACAAATCGTTGACAATCTTCTGGCTTTGCGACTCCCCGTCCAATAGTAACTTGATCTCAGGCTTATACTTGATATTTGTAGAAGAGTAGTAGGTAGATCAGACAATATTCCATGAATGCTCCAACCCTTTCAAAGTGTGATCGCTTTTACTTTTATTCTTTAAAATCTGAACTTGATTGTAAAAGAATTAAATAATGCCTCTCATCTGGAATATCTAAATATTCGGTATAGCTCCAATTCCGATGAGATAGAGAACAACACAACTAAATTATTCATGAATATATGTGTGAGCTCTCAAAAAATAAATTCAGAATAACCAAATTTGATTTTCTGAATTTTCTCTCTCTAAAGGCTTTCTCACAATATATAATTGATGATCCCTAAAGCCGTGAAATAAACCTTTGTATATGATATGGTTTATATAGAGTTTATAAAGTCCTAATCCCTCTAAAAATATGAAAAATTTCGTGCATAGGACTTCCAAAAAAGTTGGGATCAAAAAGAAAACATTCAGAAGAAGGAAACTAAGATCAGAATGCTACCAGGAAACCTTTGTAAACTATAATTAATTCATCAAAACCATTAATCACAAATTAAACACGAGTCCCATAATCTTAGAACTTCATTATTTCCACATAGTCTATAGTCTATAATACGTAAATAAATACTAGTTAGATATAAATACCTCGATTTATGATATCAAACCTTGTTGAAATTAAGTCCAATGTCCAGATCATTTAACCGCGAACTAAATTGCAACTCTGATCAATAGGTAAAACGTGGAAATTAGTTTTTCTCTCTTGGCCTTTTACATACATAAACATTATACGTGTTGTTTTAATTAGCGTACATAATTCATGGGATATATGCACTTTTATTAAGGCAGAGAGAACCAATTTTCCTTTTTAGTAGCCTTAATTTCACTTTCCATCAAAGTAAAGAATAAATAGAAAAACACTTCTCCAATAATTAATTACCATAAAGGTAATTTATAAGTTGACCAAATAATATAATATTAATCTGATACCTAGTTAATTAACCACTAATTAATGAACTATATCACGTGTCCAAAATATGTGGGCCACACAATTAATAAATAATCTTACATTCTCTCACTTGGCCCATATGATAACTTCTATAGTGGTTTAGTAAAATAGTCATTAGTGTGCACCATAAATCAGATTGAGTCCTTAAGTTAGTCATCATAAATACCATGGTAAATAAACTACTAATGCGAGTCATGGCGGTTATATGTCCCTAAATGACACAGTTCCTTCCATGTACCACAACACTAGTAACATATTCAACATAGTCTATAAATGAGAAGTATCAATAATGATCTAACAATAATATCTTTTCTAAGACAATTCCTATTACTTTTTATTAAAGCAATACGTTCATGAATATTAGTTAATAGGAAATATCAGAAACACATTTAATCAGCGCAAGATGTCAAATATATATAAGCATTGTTTAAGCAATCCATAATTAAAAAATAATCATTATTGACTACATTCAAGACCCATTCTTGGTAGTCTATTCGTTAATGGATTGTAATCATAAGTTATGTGCTTATATGTTCAATAGACATTCGTTGTTTCTAAATATCTTCTTTAATGATAAAGTATTTCAACTTTAAAATACCTATCATGTTTCATACAAGAAGATCAACAATTGCAGCATAAATTTTCAACAATTTGAAAAAAATGGTACCCATGACTTCATAACCTGAAATAAATTCTGCAATCATAAATTGTAACCTCAAAGCATGTTACAAATTAAAAAATTCATAATAAACAAAGTAATAATAAATTACTTTACACTTTTTCATAATAGTGTTCCTCCAGCCAAAAGAAACAAATAACCAATTAAAAAATGTCTTCCTAAGTGTGAGCATATAATCTTTTATCCCCTACCAACTTGTATATACATCAAACTCCACAATATATGCATAAGGAATATTTTTCAATTCTTTACTTTCTAGCTAACTCAATCTTTGGGATTACATTAGGCCGAATTTATCCCCTTTTATGTATGGAACAATACTGGTTGAATAATGTTCCATACCAAATCTTTCTAGAACTCTTTCAATATATGTTTTCTAAGATAATACTAAAAATTCACGTGATCTATCATGAAATATTTCTATTCGTATCACGTATGATGCCTTATCCATATTTTCATTTCAAAGTTCTTAGAGATAACTTTTAGTTTCATATAATAAACTAATATCACTAATAACAAATAAAATATCATCAATATATAGAATCAAAAATATAAACTTACTCCAACTAACCTTCTAGTATATACACTGATTAACAGTGTTTTCCTTAAAACCAAAAGAAATAATGGTATCATTAAACTTAATATACCATTGTTAGAAAGATTTTTTAAATCCATATATTGGTATCTTAAGTTTACAGATCATGAATTCTTTACCCTCTAATATGAAACCTTCAGGTTGTTCCATATGGACTTTCTCTTATAAACTCCCATTCATAAAAGTTGTATTCACATTCATTTAATGTAACTTTAAATCATAATAAGCTACTAATGCCATGATATTTTAAAAGATTCATTCTTAGATACTGGAAAGAAGGTTTCTTTATAATCTTTTCATTCGTTGCACTAATCTATTTAGTAAAATCATTACTGTTAATGGCTTGTGAATATATAACCCGATCTGTATATATCTTACTATATATCAAAATCAAATTCTTGTAAATATACCACATAGTAATCCGGAATAGCAGATCTCCTTTCTCTTAGAGATTGTCTTAATGTTATTCTTTATGATTCTTCAACAATCTATTTATTGGTGACAATCTCATTATAGAGTTGTTGATCGTTCAATTGTTCTTCGTTGTTATACGGTTCAACAACTGAAGGAACAATTATTTCCTTAGAAGTTATGGGTAAAGAGATTTGTACCCTAACTTCTGGAATGATCAAATTCTTATTTTTATCACTCCCTCTGATTTTACCGTTCTTAATGAATCTGTCATTACCGATTTCAATAATTATCGTACTATGTTTAGGATAGTAAAACTTATACCCTTTAGATTACTTAATATCCACAACATTATGGATAACGAAAAATTACTTAACATACTCCTAACTATATCCATAAGAGTACTATTACACCTTTCAGCTACACGCTTTT